CCATTTCCTGGGCTGTGTGACTTGGAAGAAGACTGCTTCCTGCTGGCAGCATCTGTGGCCGTCCGGCTCGGGTGATGGGAGAAACAGCTGCTGGGGACACCCCGAGCGGTGTCTGGCCAGGAAGTCTGGCTCACTGTGAGCCAGCAGGACAAGGAAGGGTGAGGCGGTGGACAAAAAAAGGGAAGGGGGTTGTGGGGGGCCTTCAGGTAGGTAGAAACCTAGTGCCCAGAAACTATCTGGGTTGAGCAGGCCCCAAAGGAGCTTCCACCTAAAGAGCAGCCTGCGTAAGAACCGGCTGGACAGGAAGTGGCCTTGTCTTATCAAAACCACTTCCGAATCACGGAGGACAACCGCGACAAGCAGGGACTCTGGAGCCCAGAGCTGTGGAGTTCAATACCTGCCTCTGCCACCTGCCTGCTGTGTTACCTTAGGTAAGTCATGTACCTCTCTGGGTCTCGGTTTCCTCATCTCTAAAATGGGAAGGGTAACAGTACTTATCTTGTAGGTCGTTGCGAAGATCAAATGGGTTAATGTGGGTACGGTACATGTAATCTTGGCCAGTACACAGGACCTCCCTCCATCACTGCCACCCTCGTCCTACCCACCCTGCTCTCCTACTGGACTATCAGCAGCCTCCTCGGCTCTCCCTGCCACTGCCCCCGACGACCTGTTCTCCACTTGGCAGCCTGACTCATCTGTATAAAAGGAAACCACACACTGCTTAAAGCCCAGACTCCCCGTGCCACACAAAGTGGAACCCACTCCTTCCCTCGGCCCGAAAGCCCCTGCTCTATCCGCCATGTCTCCCCACCTCCTGAACCTCCTGAACCTCATTGCCTACTCTGCCGCCATGGCCTTCTTGATGATACTTGAACATCCCAAACCTATTCAGACCTCAGGGCCTTTGCACTTTCTGTACCCACTACCTGTCCTACTTTGTTTCCTTTCTAGGCCTGGCTCACTCTTGTCGATCAGAAAGCCCTCGCTTACTCCCCCAAACTGCATCAGGCGCCTACTCTGGATTCACCCAGTCCCTATGCCTCCCCCATCCCAGCCCTGACCACTGTGGGCTGTGCTGCTCACCACTGGGACAATGGTCAGACACACAGAGTGTAACAAGGCTTGCCCGTCCCTGTCCAAGCTTCAGCTCCTTCCTTCCTGCTACTCCCTGAGGAGGTTCAAGTCAGTATAGGTCCCTTCTCAACTGTCAGCCTGGGAGAAGCCCCCAAGGAGAGGTAGCTCCAAGTTGCAGTCAGTGTCCCGAATGCCCTAGGACAGGGAAGGGGCCCCAACCACTGGGCCACACAGCAGGAGGTGAGCAGAGGTAAGCAAATGAGGTCTCATTTGTATTTGCAGCCGCTCCCCAGCACCAGCATCACCGCCTCAGCTCCACCTCAGATCATCGGGCATTAGATTCTCATAGGAGCTCCAGTCCTTGGTGCCAAAAAGGTTGGGGATCCTGCCCTAGGGGGAAAAGGTCGAAGCCCTCCAGAGCTTGGTGAGTGTCAGGCCCCGGCTAAGCCCATCACATGAACCATTGTCCCAACTGGCCCCACAGCCTAGGGAGGTTTAAAAACCCACCACCTCATGGCTGAGTAAATTGTTTCACAAGGGCCATAAACCTGCCCACAGCAGGACACGTGTGAACGCAACCCTCAAGCCCTATTGGGAAGCTCGGGGTATAAGCGTTTAGGACAGGTCGGCGAGACATCTGCCTGAGAGACTGGCTATAGTAGACAAGGAAACACCTTCTAGAAAGTTCACTGCAGTGCTGATTGTTACAGTCCCAAAGGGAAACACCTAAACGGCCACCAAAAGGTAAACGGATAACTCCTGTGTGGCACAATCACAGAGAAACACTCGACAGCCGGGAAAACGAATGACCTGCCCTAGGCTGACACACATCCGGCCGGAGAAATGTCTAAACCCTAATGCTGGACAGGAGAAGCAGGTGATTTACCGTGATCCCATTTATATGCCCTGTAACGCTGTAAAACAGTAGTGGTCAACCCTGGCTGGCCACGGGAACCTCGTGCTGCTGCTGGCCCCACCCCAGACCAAGTGAATCGGAGTGGGACACTCCGTGGCGGGCCTGGGCGACTCTGTCTGGGGGAGCTCTCCAGGTGACTGCAAAAGTGTGAATAATCGAGGACAGCAAAAGTGTGAAAGCCTGCAGAGGGACGCATGACACCAAATCCAGTACAGAGGCCACCGCTGGCAGGGAGGGTGTGGAAGGCTGGGCACAGGAGCGGGGCCTTTAACTGAATCTACCACATGTTCTGCCCCTGGCCAGACCCTGGAGGTGTGGGTGTTTTGTTATATTGAAAGCTCTACTTTTTTCTCTAGTCTAAAATGTATCATAAAGAACAAAATTGGCAAGAAATCTCTTGCCCAAGGTCCCATGGCTGGTAAGTGACAGGGTGTTCTATGCCAAAGACCCATCCCTCCTTCTCTATGCTGAGCCCTGAGATGCTCAATGAGCTGGCACCACAGGGCCTGAGGCTGGGCTGGCCTCACAAGGCCGCCTGGCGGATGCGCCTACTCAGTGACACTGCCAGAGCCAGGGGGTGGGGCAGTCGCCACAGAAAGCCAAGAGGTAGGCGGAGAGAGGTCCCTCCACCATCTGAGGCCCTCCCCAGACAGCAGGAGCAGCAGCAGCAGCATCAAGCATACACAGCACCACTGGGCTCCAGGCCTTGGGCCAAGCTCTTTACAGTGTATCCTCACAGCAATTCTAGAGGTAGCCACTAATATTACACTCATTTTGCAGAAGAGGAAACTGAGGCCCAGAAAAGTTAAGCAACCTGCCCACAGCCACACAGCCCGAGAGTGATGAAGTGGGGGGGTGTGAATCAGGCGCCCATTCCCCAGCATCCACTCTCTGAACTGCTTCACACTCCCAGACAAGGGACAGGTACTCATCTGCCCCTGCTCCACTGCCCCACCCAGGCGGGGCGCCCTAAGGGTCTCGCACAGGCTACATGTGGCCTACAAGCCCCCAACCCTGCACCCGTCCCCTGACCTCCAACCCACACACAGAGCCTTTCCTTCTGCCTGGTTCGCCTGTTCCCATGCCTCCTACTCATTCTTCAGAGCTTGCCCAGGAGACTTGCCCAGGGACACAGTCCCCAGCCTAGGTTGGGGCCCAGAGTCTGGGCACTCTCCTGGTTCCCTGAACGTGTCCTTGCAGGCTACGTCACCACTGGGAGACACGTCGCCATGTATCACCATCTAGGGGTCTGGGTCCGGTCTGCTCCCACCAAGGGACACTGAGAGCCCTCAGAGGCCAGGGGTCCCGTGTGTCTTGTCCACTGCTGCAGTCCCGACACTCAGCGAGGTGCCCAGTGTTCAACCCCCACCAGCCCTCGGCAGGCCGGTCAGCACTTCAGGTAGGGATTCGGGGAAGAAATGACATGGAGAAATTCCTGCGGGAGACAGACAACAATGCAAGGACAGGGAAGGGCCGGGGAGAAAACAATTGTGAGGGCAAGAGTGTGTGAGGGCAGGGAGGGCTGGCTGCTCCTGCTCGGGCGGTGAGTGACATGGATGAGAAGGCGCAGGCTGGGGAAATGAGTCTAGGCACGGGGAACAGGAAGGTCTAAGACCTGGAGGGAGGCAGAAGTCTACAGAGTTGAACAAAAAAAAGCAAAGAGGCTTAGACTGAGGCGAGGGGTGGCAAGAGCAGTAGGAAATGAGGATTAAGGACAGTGATGAGAGCTTGGGGTTTTAACTACAGAGAACACCCAACTTTGTACAAGGCACCACCCAAACACACCCTCCTCAGCCAGAAGCCCATCAGACTCACTTGGACTCTGGGCCACACACAAATACCCCATCCCATCATCCATGGGAACCTCTCCTCCCAGATCACACCCTTCACTGAGGCCAAAAAGACAATCCTTTCTTGCTCGGGGAGTGTCCCAGCCTTGCCCAGCCCCCTGCTTCCAGGAACAAACCTTCGGCAATCTGCAGGGCAGCCACCAGGGTCAGGAGCTCTAGAATTCAGACCCAGCTTGGAATCTGCCTCCTGTCACTTAGCAGAAGTTCTCTGAGCTTCACTTTTTTTTTGTCTGTCAAGTGGGTCTATCTAGTACCCACTTCACAAAATTGTGGTATACTAAGACCAGGCACACAAGGCACAGAGCATTGTTAGGCCTCATAAAATATCGGCTAAGACTATGATTATTTGAGAGGCAGTAGAGCACAGAACTCTCAGCCCAGAACTCCAGAGTTCAAATCTCAGCTGTACAACTTCTCCATCAGGTGATCCTGGGCAAGTCGTTGAGCCTCTTAGTCATGGCACCAACCCCATAAGGCTGCAGTCAGTATTAAATATATGTAAAGTGTTTAAAACAGGGCTTGACCCATATTGTGTGCTTTATGACTGCTTGCTATTATTTTCATTATTTGTGGGGCAGGGGCTCCCCTCTCCCCCACCAGAAAGAACCTTTGCCCTCTCTCTTGGATATCCTGCCCCTCTTCCCCAGCAATATGTCCCACTTGGGTTTTAACTTTTAACCCTTGGGAATATCTGTCTGGCCTTCAGATTCTGATCTTTTCCCCCGCCTTTGGTCACGTCCCACCTTTGATCCCATAAAAGCTGCCCCCCAACCTAAATCTCATTCATCTGGATCGCTAGCTGCTGCCTTAACCCTCCAACCCTCACCTTCATGGTTGCGACCTCTGACCATCGGAGGTGCATCTTCCCCTCAAATTAATTTTGATCCCCCTTTTTTGACACTCGCCCCAACCCCTCGAGCGCGCCGCGACTTCACATTTCGAACTTTGCGCTCCCCTTGGTCACGCCCCCTTTGCGAGTTTGACCTTTGATCTCCAACACACTTCTCTCTCCCTCAGCGTTGACCCCGACCCCCCCCCACACGACCCTTCCCTCCACGAGTGAACTTTGACCCAGCGGCCCCGCCCCCTACTTGCGTAAACGCTATCCCACCGCCATCGCCCGGCTCATCTCAATCCCCTGGCCAGACCGCTTATCCTACCGGCTTGGCGCCGCAGTCGCTCACGGTCTAGCTGCTTGGCCCGAAACTCCGCACGCTCGCGTTGCCCTCAACTCTCTTGCGCCTCCACCACCGCGGCCGCTGCCATCGCCATGTTGAATCCCCAACGAACATCCGGGGCTTTCCCCCTTCGCCGCCCACCAGTCCCCATAGCAACGGGGCTGACAGGGCAGGGGGCAGGGCCCTCTCAGGGGCGGAGTTGGGCGCCGGGCAGCGCCCGCTCCAGCCTCTGATTGGTGCAGATCGTCCAATCGGAGATCGTCGGGCGGAAAATGCCAAGCTGGGATTGGGAAATTTGGAAAAGGTGCAGGGAGGCTGGCTCCCAGCCCATTCAGATTCTTAAAGGGGAAATAACTTTTCTCTTGCAAGTCTTTCCCACCTTCCTCGAAAGGAGTTAGGGGTATCCGTCAGTAACGCGCAATAAGGGCTAGAAACAGTTCTTAAGTACTTACTATGTGCTAGACACCTGTCCAAGTGCTTACTCACTGCAACCCGATTGTATTATTGATACCCATTTTACAGATAAACTGAGGCTCAGAATGGTGATTTGTCATCACAGGAAGTAAATGAGTTTTGGAGGATGGTCTGTCAGTATGAGTCTGAGAACTTAACCTGGAACTAAGGAACCAAGACACTATTTGACCTAAATCTTTTTAATAAGTTTTTTAAAAAGCAATTAATTCGTAAAATAGATATATATGAAAATACGAAAAACAAACAAAAAAACACACACCAAACCCCATAAACTAAATTCCAACGACCTCTTCTATGATTTCACTCAGTGGGCTCCAGTCACTTTGTTCTTCCAGAAAAATATCAGGTGCTCCCCTGCTTCAAGGTCTTTGCATTGACTGTTCCCTCTGGAATAGACTCTTCCTCCGGGGATCCTTATGGCTCCCTCCCTCCTCTCCTTTAGAATTTTACTCAAATGACGCCTTATCAGTGGGACTGTTCCTGCCCACCCTAACCAAAGCAGTAAACATCCCTCTCACATGCTACTAAACTCCTCACGTTTTTTTCTTATTTTCTGTTGCTCAAATCACTTTCTAACATACTAAATAATTAGCTATTTGTAGTTATTGTTTTTTGGTTGTCTCTCACGTTGGAATCTTAGCTCCATGAGAGCATGATTTTTGTTTTGTTCACTGTGCATGCCCAGTGCCCTGGCACTATTGGCATGTAGATGCTTAATAAACATTTTTTGAATGAATGGCTGAATGAGTCACAATTCCACCTCCTCGAAGATACTCTTACATGTTTATGGCATCTCCTGTGCCCCAGCACAGCGTCTAGCATGTAGTAGACATTCAATTAATGTCTGCAGAAGCAATGAATGAATGATTGCATGATGAGTCATTTTTTTCTGTAAATTTACCTATTTTTAAAAAACTAAATCGGAAACACATTTACAAAGAATTTTGTAAATTTTTAAAACAAGATTATAAGTATCACCAGTATCTTTCCATGTCATTAAGTATTCTTCGAGACCATTAGAATTCATGGCTGCGTAAGATGCCATTCTATCAATCAACTCTAATTTGTTTAAGCACTCTTCCTTATTGAACATCTAAGCTGTGATAAATACTTTTCTATTATAAATAATCTCCCCCTCAAAAAAAAAAAATCCAAGCAACTAAATATCTGTGCCCATCGCTAATTTGAATAGATTACCACTAATAGAACTGCTGGGACGAAAGAAGTGTACATCTTTATGACTTAATAATAGTAACAGTTCTCATGTTCCCAGCATTTCTATGCACCATGTATGGTGCTAAGCCATGTAATTTTAACAACAGGAGCTATGATTATCCCTGTTTTGCAGAGGAGGAAGCTAAGGCGTAGAGAAGTAACTTCACTTGGTCAAAGTCGCACACGCTAATAGGACAGAGCCAGGGCTCAGCCCCAACTTTGACTCCCAGGCACTCGCTAACTGCCCTCTGCTGCCTCCCCCCGGCCAGGGACGCACATTGCCAAATTAAGCTACAGGGATCCAATTCACGCTCCTACTAACATTCAGAGAAAACATGCTCTTAAAGTATCCACGCCAGCATTAAACATTCTTGATTTTGCGCTATTTTGAAATTTTTATGCCTTACAGAGTCTTGATTTTTTTAAGCAAGGCTAGAAACTGAGATGATGGTCACAGTGATGGGAGGAGGGCCAGGTGTGGCTTTGCCTCTTCACTGCCCTGCACAAATTGTAGAGGATTAGACCGTAAAACCCATGTTAAAGGAAGCGCCTTTGTAATTTAATTGAGGATCTCAGAGATCAGACACCTGGAACAAGCCTGGTGAAAGATCGGCCCCAAGGCCTTCCTCAGGATGGAGGATCAGGCCCTCCTACTTCTGGGCCCTGGGAGAAGAAAATCAGCCTTCAAAGAGCCTCCTATTGGAGGGCTGCCTGGAGGTAGTGGTGAAGAGGTGAAGTGGTGACCCCAAAGGACAGAAATGGGCAAAGAGGGTGAGGAGGCTTTGACCTCCTAAAAATGATGCAGTTTAGTACGTCAAGGGAAAAGATAAGTGGCAGGTTGCTGTAGGGCGGAGTGGCAAGATGGCCACCCCTGCTTTTGCTAGTGCCCTGAGAGCAGCATCAGATATTGCATTTTGTAGGAATTGAAGGTTTGTGGTAATCCTGCTTGGAGCAAGTCTATCTATGCCATGTTTCCAACAGGCTCAGATAATGGAGTCTTATGGCCCCTGAATATCAGGCATCTTCAGCCTATCAAAGCTGTGCCAAGAATGCCTGTCTTAATTCTTTACTGTCCACCTGACGTTTTAGTCATATTCAGACTTCAGTTGTTTCCTCTGCTCCCAGACTTATCACATTTGCCAGAAACCTGACACGTGGTCATATTGCAGCAGAATCCTCAAAAGAGTGGCCCCTTGCTTCCGAAAGTCCTCAAGCTACCAGTCAGAACCGCAACATACTTCAGTTCATCAAATGCAAGAGAAAGACTGAAAGCCGCTGTCTACAGGTTTCTTTGACTTCATTCTGGCCTTTGGCTAAGGAGGAAGTCCAGTTATAAGAGAAAATCACGGAAAAAGTCAACTGCAAGGAAAAGATGCTTGAGAGAATTTGTGTTCTGCAATAAAACCCAGAGTAAACACTTAGATAAAATGACAACGTCTGTCTGGAAGAGGCGTAACTGGTATGCTGAAGATCTTTATCAGAAGTATCACGATCGAACAAATCTGAAAGTATAGATCATAAGTTTTATGATTTCCCAGTTATTGGATTTCTGTCTTTGAGTACATGATGTCTTTGCAAAAATGAATAAGTATAAAACTTGATATAAGTTGTACCAACTGATATGGAAATATACTATACCACCATTAAACTTATCGGAGTTTTAAAATAAAAAAAAGAGAAGTGGCAGTACATGGGTGGCAAGCAAACTTCCTGTCAGTCATATGTAAAGAGCATTTACAAATTAATATAAAAGGTGAACATACAATAGAAAAATAGGCAAAGGACATGAACAAAACTAAAAATACAAACAACGGATAAGAAAAATTGGAGTTGGCAAACGAGAAATTAATGAAATTGCTTTTGTTTAAAAAAAGAAAAAGAAAGAAAGAGCCGAAATGGAATCAATTTTGCTAAGCCAAGTCACCAAACTAAAACTGAATAACTAACCTAATTACAGTTTCAGCCTCTCCCAGGAGTGGAATTTTAAACCAATCAGTCTGGAATTTCCTGATCTACGCGAGTGAGATAATTTGCTTGATAAGACCCCCCTGCCTTCCCCTAAGGGACTGTGTCCTTGCCTAAAATAATCCACTCTTTTAATTTCTTAGTCCCTCCCTCTTTCTGCATAGACTTCTTCCATTTTCTACAACTCATCCAGCAGTCTGCTAGTTGCTAGATGGGATGCTGCCCAATTCATGAATTGCTTAACAAAGCCAATCAGATCCTCAAATTCACTCGGTTGAATTTTGTTCTTTAACACTATTAAACAGATCTTTCCTTTTTCGTCCCTTAGAAAAACATGGTTTAAATATTTTAATCAGTGCTGATGAAAACACAAGATAACAGCCACTCTCATAGCCCATTTGTAGGCTGTGATCTGGGCAGACAGGCTTTTGGCAATATCCATCAAAAGACTTATCGATGCTGTCCACTTTTTGATACAGCAAATCTACTTCTAGGAACTGTTCTTAAAGGAAGAGAAAGATATAGACAAGGGTGTAAGTGTGCAGCTGTTCATCATTAGTGTTATTTTAGTATGCATTTTTTAAATGGCCATCGTGTTTTTATCGTCGGCATACCCTATGGTACTTACCAATGCCCCTATGCTGGCACATTTAGGTTGCTCCCATATTTTTTCACTGCTCCCTAAGCCGGACCCTCTCTAAACACTTTACATGAATGACCTTATCTAATCCTCATCACTTATCTATAAGATGGGATCCTTAGCCCCATTGAACAGATGAGAAAACTGAGGCATGCGAGTAGGGCGGGAAGTGGAGCAAAGTCCCACCAGTTCTGAGTGGCTTTGCTGGAATTTTAACCAGGAAGTCTGACTTCAAAGCTAATGCTTTTAAAGACTGCTCAAATTTGTTTAGTAAATATATTCATTGAGTGCCATCTATATGTCAAGCACCGTGAATAACGATAACTGCAAACATTTATTTTCTATGTGACATTATATTCTATATAGCATTAGTATAAGTGTTTTCTATACAGCAGGCCCTGTGCTAAGTTTATGTACGCATACTACCTCATTTAATCCCACAACAACCCTGTGCACTATTATTATCCCCATTCTACATATGTGCAGACTGAAGCATAGAGGGGTTAAGTAACTTTTCCAAAGCCCCACAGGCAGCCTGGCTTCAGGGTCTAGGCTCCTTGCCATTTCTCTTCTTTCACAGAGAACGAATGCTCCAAGAGATAGTTAATAAACACATAAGTGAATAAATAATGTGACATAAACTAAGGCAGTGAGCAGGGCTGCAAACGTGTCATGGAACACATCCATGCAGCCAAAAAGGAATGTGGAAGGCACAGGACCCAGCAATCCCACTCCTAGGTATTTACTGAAGAGAAGCAAAAACCTATGTGCACACGATGACTCGTACAGGAATGTTCACATCACTTGTTTTCATAATTGCCCCAAACTGGAAACAACCCCAAAGGTCCATCAGCTGGTAAACAGATAAATACACTGCAGCAGATCCATTCCCTGGAACGCTAAGCAGCAATAAAAAGAAAGGAACTATTGATAAGCAGGACACATGGATGAATTACAAATGTAGTAGCCGATCTCAAAGGGCTGCATATGATCCGATTCCACTCACAGCATTCTGGAAAAGGTAAATCTATAGTGACAGAAAGCAGATTGGTTATTACCTGAGGCTGAGGGGCAGAGGGAGGATTAACTGCAAGGGGGCAGGAGGGAAATTGGAGGTGACGGCGATATTCTGAATCTTGATTGTGGTGATGGTTTCATAGGAATACACATCTGTCAAAACTTCTCAAATTGTACATTTTCAAAGGGTGAAGTTAATTGTACTAAATTATATCTTAATGAAGTTATAGTTAAACGTTTTTAAAATGCAGTAGAATAAAGTATGGACTTCAGTTCATAATAATGTACCAATAGTGGTTCTTCAATTGTAACAAATGTATTTATACTATGGTTAAGACTTTAATAATGGGGAAAACTGGGTGTGGAGTTTTGGGGAACTCTGTACCACCTTTGAAATTTTTCTGTAAATCCAAAACTGTTTATTTTAAAAAATAAAGTTTATTTTAAAAAATGAGGGGAAAAAACAGAATAGAGATGATATTACGCCCACGTTAATTTAAGTGGGAGAGAGAATCAAGGTAACGAACTCGCCTATATCCTATGACACTATTTTCTTTCCTTTTTTTTTAAATTGACATACAATTGACATATAACATTATATTAGTTTCAGGTGTACAACATAATGATTCGATATTTGTACATATCGCCGAATGGAAAATATGGAATACGTCACGAATTTGTGTATCACCTTCATGCAGGAGCCACGCTAATCTTCTCTGTATCACCCCCATTTTAGTACATGGGCTGCCAAAGCGAGCAAGGTAGTATCTACATTTTTTTAAGAATAAAAGTTTATGAGGAAAACTATTAAAATGTTCAAAGTTAGAAGCTGTTGGGAATGGGACAGCTGGGAAATCTCCAGTTCTACTTGATTGATTGATTGATCGATTGATTGATGATTGATTGCATGGTTTGCATTTGTTTATTTAACCATGAGTGTCTTAGTTTCTGCCCTGAAGAAAAATAAAGACATTATTATTTATTACATTTGCTGAAAAGAAGCAGCAAAAATCCTGAGGGAGGTCTTGGAAGGGTGGAAGGGGCTGGGAGGAGGTGTCGCTGCCCAGGAAGGAGGGACCCCATATAACAGAGGCTCCCGCAAAACTCAAAGAGCACACGAACACGTGTGCGAGATCCAGAGAGGAACATTCTGCCTTCTTCATGTCCTCTGTTCTCTGCTTTCTCCCTGGCCCACTCCTAGGGTTGCAATAAAAACTTAGCCAATAAAAATACAAGAGGGTCAATGAAAATTGAATTTCAGACAAACCCTAAATCATTTTTTTAGTATAAGTATATCCCATGCAATACTGAGAACGTACTTATACTAAAAATGTATTTATTGTTTATCTGAAATTCAAACTTAACTGGGCATCCCATATTTCACCTGGCAATTCTACTCACTCCATACCAACCACCCTGGCCTCATGGCTGTTTCTCAAACACACAGGCTCAGTCCTACCTCAGGGCCTTTGCACCTGCTGGTCCCTCTGCTTGGATCACTCTTCCAGGTCTTTGCTTTGACCAACTCCCTAACTTCTGATGCAAATGTCACCTCAGAGAGGCCTTCTCTGGATACCGACCGTATCTAAAACAACCTTACTCTCCTACCCTAAGTCCGATGTATTTTCTTCACGGTGCCGATCACCACTTGGAGTTATCAAGCGATAACACGTATGTTCTCAGTGTTTCTTCTCGACCTCCCCCGAGGTCATTTAAGCTTCCTGAGGGGACAAACGTCACCTGGGCCACCACGGTATTTCAGCACTTGCATCACAGTAAGTGCATAGGTCTTTCATGATTCTTAGTCACAATCAGCAGAAACCATTCCTGGCTGACCTGAGCAATGAAGGACTTTAGTAAATGGACATCGTTAATGGACAAAACCAGAGACCCGCAGCTTCCCCCTTCTTGTCTCTGCACTGACCCCCAGACACCCCGCGTGCTCCGCCTGGGGCCCTGCTGCCCCTCAGGGGAGCACTTGCCCCCATCCTGTCCGGTAGGCATCTGCATAGCCTCCGAAAGCCTCCCAGAAGCCTCGGGGTCTTCGGTCCTGCAACCTGTCACTTGCTGTGCATGTCGCATATCACAGGTGTCACAACCAGCCATACGTGCCTATCTCTTGCACACCGGCAGTGGGAGCCCCAAGGGTTGGGCCTTTATCTGAGTCACCTAAATTGTCGTCATCCCTTCTACTCATTACATGCTCCTCGGCACCAGGTGCTGTGTTAAATATTTTACCTGCATTTCTCCTTTCTTCCTTCATTCGGCCAATGTCTACTGAGCAACTACTACATATTGGGTACTGGGGCCGCGAGAGTGGACAGAACCAGCAGAAACCCCTGCACCCCAGGAGCTTACATTCTGTTGGAGGAAATAAAGAATAAATAACTAAACCTGTATCTACTTAGTAGGTCACGAAATCTAAATGGCCTGAAATAAGATGAAGCCGGGAAAGGGGATGGGAGGTGGGCGTGGGTGCAGGAGGGATGCTGTTTTAAACAGGTGGCCAGGGAAGTCTCACTGGAAAGGTGAGATTTGAGCAGCGGCCTGAGGGAGGCGGGGAGGGAACCATGTGAGTAGCCGGGAGCGGTGTCCCAGGCCCAGGGAGCAGCCAGTGCAGACCTGGGAAGTTAACCTGATAGATCTGCGGCCAGCGAGGCTGGAGCGAAATGGGCAAGGGTGGCTAGAGCGAGGTGAAGGCAAGGAGGTCTCAGGCACAGGTGGCGTGGGGTGGGCCGCAGGGAGGACTCTAGTCCTCCCCTCACGGGAGGGCTCAGGCAAAGGAAGGCCGTGATGTGACACAGGTGCCCACAGGTCCCTTTGACTGCGTGTGGGGAGCGGACTGTGGGGGCAGGCACGGGAGCAGGGGGAGACCCGGCGGCAGGCGAGAGATCAGGTGGACAGCACCAGGCACCAGGGCAAGGGCTTTGCAGCTGTGAATAGGGGACGAATTCTAGATCGATTCCGGAGACGGAGCCAACAGAATCTACTCTGTTGGGGAGAGGAGTCGAGGCCGACTGAACGTGGGGAGCGCAGTCGAGGGCGACACCAAGGCTTTCAACCTCATTTAATCCCAAGGTGACTCCATGAAGTATAACCATTAATTACAGATAGAGAAAGAGGTTCAGAGAGGGCTGGTGACTCCGCGTCCCACAGGAAGTGGCAGAGCTGAGATCTGGACCCAGTTTCGGTCTTGCTCCAATGCCAGGCCTCTGCTTTCTGTGGACCCCACCACCCGGACACGCTCGGGGCCTCGCCCTGCTGGACAGAATGTGCCAGGCCCACACGGCACCTGCTCAGTCTGGCCACACCGTGCAATGAATGACTCCCCAGCTGGTGACTTCACGGGCCTGGTGCACCCCTCCGTGGCATTCCCCCATTGTATGTCACCTGTGTTGGGTAACCGTAGCCTGACTGGAGCTGATTCATCACTGTCCGTGGCACTGCCCGGAGCCTGGCATGTGGCAGCCTTCATTAAGGCAACAAATATTTACTAAGCATCTCTCTTGTGCTGGGCTGGGCTGCGCTGGAGCGAGCCCTGGACACCGCCTTCCTGGGTTGACAGTCCAGCGGTGGAGACAGATCCACCCCCAGATAGTGATGGCCTAGAATGGACAGGGCTGGAGTGGGGGGGCCCAGGGCCCCAGCCCAGCCTGAGAAGGGGTCCAGGAGACCCAGGAATGAACGAGATGGCTTTGGTCTCCTCCCTCAGAGACCCCCAACCCAGCAGAATAGACCGACAATGATCAGTCAACGAATCATCGAGAACTGTGGAATGCTAAGAGCCGGAAATGAGGGACAGGACGGGACGGAGAGGAGTGCGTCTAATTTATCTGGGGTTGTCAGGGAAAGCTGAGTCCTGAGGATGAGAAGGTCCCAGCCTGGGACGAGCTGGGGAGAGGGTGCTCAGAGGACGAAGAGTTAGGGCACCGTCCCTACAGTGAGACGTGAGGAGGTCGATGCTGCACGGCACGATGGACGCGTCGATGAGGTCAGCCTGCAGAACTGGGACGCACGGGCTTCCCTGGAGACGAGCCCTCATCTTTGCCCAGGACTCCTAGAGTCAGATCATGTCTGTCACCAGCCCAGAGCCCTCCTGTGGTTCCATCTCACTCAGGATAAAGGACAAAGTCCTTCCCATGGCACACAAGGTCCCACGGGATCTGCCCTCATCACTTTCCTGGCCCCATCTTCCCCTCGATCTCCCTCTGCTCCAATCGCACTGGCCTCCCCACTGATCCTCTGGCGGGCACCTTTCTGTCCCACGGCCTTTGCACTGGCTGTTTTTCTGCCTGGAGCACTGCCCACGTGACTCCTCGCGTGGCTCTTCCCTCAGACTCCTTCAGATCAAATGTCACCCTCCCAGGGAGGTCTCCCTGACCATCCTCCTAAAAATTGCAACCGCCTCCCCTACTCCCCATCGCCCTCCCCTGCTTTTTCTGAGCACTTATCACTAAATAGTGACACCCTGTTATACATTTTACTTATTTATTGTGTTCACAGTCCAACACCCCAGACGGAACGTCAGCTCCACGAGGGGAGAGATCTCCGTCCTCTTCATGGCTGTCTACCCAGTACTAAGAACAGGGCCTGGCACGTGGAAGGTGCTCAATAAATAGTGGCTGAATAAATGAAAGGAAGGAGGGAGACAGGAAAGAGGGAAGAGAGGAAAACAGCGGGTCTGCGAGCACCTGTCTTGTCGCCGCCCCAGCTGGGAGGCAGGCATTAACACTTCACTTCCTTGGTAAATCAGTGTCAGGCTGAGAAATCGAGGCACAAAAGGACACTGGTTAGCACCCTTTGGACCACTGGCTCACTGAAGGCCAGCCGAGGGGGAGAAAGTCACCGACGTCACCTGCTGGAGAGTGGCGTCATGATGGCCGTGCTCATCTTGCTGACTTGGAGCAGGTGATACTTCTCGCCCCGGCAGGCAGGAGATGGGGTGCCCCAGCTGGCATCCCCAGCAGAAGTGCGGAGTCCACGGAGTACAGTCCATAAGCCTCTTTATTCCTGAGGCCCCATGGGCACCCCGCCCAGGCAGTGCCATGCAGGAAGGCGGGGCTGTGCCACCCGCCGGTGTCCTCCTGTGTCTGTGTCCGCACCTGCCTTCCGACACAGCCAGAGGGGCCCCACCTCTCTGGGAGGGGAGGGCTGCCCACCGACGAGGGGCCGCATCCACCGACGAGGGGCCTCAGGATGGCAGAGGAGTCGAGGCCCGCCTTGACTCCCCAGCCGGGCCTGGGCGACGGTCTGGTCACGCCGGCCAAGACAGCAAGGCCCGGGATTCCTGACGAGAGCTGCTCCGTCCCTAGAGGTACAGCATCCGGTCGAGCAGGGGTCTCACCACCCAGACGTCATCCACAATCTTCCCGTCCTGCAAGGAACAAAAACAGCCTTGGGCAAGTTGCTAGACCTCTGAGCCTCTGTTGTCCTCATCTGCAACGTAGGGATGCCTCAGAGATGTGGGAATTGAATGAGATATTTGGAGAGGGCACCTGGAAGGACCGTGTAAGTGCACGCAAACCTTGGAGTCAGACAGAACTCGCCCTGCATCCCAGTGCAGCCCTCTCCAGGTGGCCTTAAGGATGTGAGCCAACACTGAGCCCAACTTCTGTGTTCTATCAACTGGGGAGAACTCAATGAGATAATCCACACAAAAGCCCGCCCCGGCGCATGCGCGCTCAATAAATGGTGGTTGTTTCTAATAAAAAGAGCGTGGTCCTTGGGGTTAGATCCAGCTCTGCCACTTTCTGGTCATGTGACCCCGGGAATATTACTTTCCCTCTCTGAGCCTCGGTTCTCCCATTCGTAAAATGGAAAGGAAATCCTGCCCCCTGGGACTGTGGTGACTAAGTGCTATTGGATATAGAGCATCTAGCCCAGCATCTGGTACACGACAGGTGCTCAACAAATCATAGTTATCATCATTATTTTAATTTTACGGGGGCAAAAATAAAGAAAGGCGAGCCACGATTATCTGAGTCCGTCTCACCTTAAGCCACCTGGAGTACATGCTCATCACGCCGACCTCCCTCTATCCGCCTCCCACCACCTACCTTTTTCTTCTCCCACTTCATGTTAATAAATATCTATATAAATTACGATATTTTAGAAGCTTTTCTAAGCACTTTATATAAAATAAGTCATTCAACGCCCCCCGCCCCACACACACACCACATAATCCCGTGAGGTGGAAACTATTAAATGTGTTCATTTCGCAGATGGGAAACCTGTGGCTCAGTAAGTTGCTTGGGGGTCATCCGGCTGGTAAGCAGCAGAGGCAGGATTTGAACTCGGGATTTCTGGCCTTGGAGTCCACGTTTTTAACCACTTGGCCCCAGAGCGTGCCGCGCCTGGCTTCTCAGGTAGGCGACTGGGTGTCGCTCACTAACCTGGTCGTCGGACACCTGCTGGATGTGGATGTGGGTCCCGTTGAGGATATGTAGCCGCGTGTACCCATACTCCTTCACGCGCACAGCGCTCCAGGGCCGGGGAAAGAGAGTGAAGCGGGTCAGCCGCTCCTCACAGCCCTGCCAGAGAGAAGTGTTCAGACCCCAGGCCAGGAGGACCGCAGGGGAGCAGAAACAACCTGCCTGGCCAGGACCCTGTCGCCCCCGAGGAAGACAAAGTCAGTTAAGATGACACCCTCAATAATGCTCACAATTGAGTGTTTTGACCCAGCCAGGCATCCTGTGCCCGGGTCTTCTAGAAAGTGCATGGCTGTGCAAGACTGTCCACTGCAGCATTTTCTGTAAAAGCTCTGCGCTGGAAGCCACCCAAATGCCCATCAGTGGGGATCACTTAAGGAAATTATAGGGTAGCCGTCACAAAGCAGGGTGATGCAGAAAGATGGCCAAGATGTATCATTAAAGGGGAGACGCAATTCACAGAATAGAAGAAATTGGTGGGTCTCAGCCCTCGCTGCACAGTAGACCCTCCAAGAAAGCTTTTTAAAATCAACAATGTTGCGGGGAGAGGGAGTGCTCGTCCCCACAGGAGAACACCAGGGGAATAAGGGAGCTTGAAACATCGCCATTTTGCAGCCATCGTTGTAATAACCGATTGAATCAATGGATGATAAAACTAATGATGAGAGTTTGAGGAATAACGAGGTATTTGCAGAGTCTCACAGTATCTCTCCAGGAGACACTTGTTAATTATAAAGGGGAAAAGAATGAGCATGGTCGAGAAGCCTGGCAGACATGACCTTAACCAAGCGATCAAATTGAATATCATCAGTGATGAGACAGATCTACACCAGTTTACACAATAGGAAACTGAGACTTCAAGGGGTTAAAGAGATACCATGCACCTCCTGCTGGATGCCCTGAGAACACAGTACCACTTCTGTGTATTCTTACCTAAAAGGCATAACTTCCTTCTAATCAGGAGCAAAGACCAGACAAACCCAAATGGAGAGAGAGATTCTACAAAACGACCTTGCTGCACTCTTCAAATGTTTCAAGGTCATGAAAAATGAAGAAAGAGTGGAGACATGTTTCCAATTAAAGGAAGCTAAAGAGACAAGACAGTGAAATAGAACATGTGATCTTAGATTAGCTCCTGGGCTAGGAAAAAGAAATCCTTCGATTCGATTTAAAGCACACGAATGGGACAACTGGCTAAATTTGAATGTCATAGGTTAGATAATAATAGTATATATTATCGATGCCAACTTGAATTTGATTATTATACAATAATGGTAAGACAAGGTCCTTGTTCCTTAGGAAATATAAACAGAGGCATAAAGGCATCATTTCTGCAACTTACCCTTCATTGGATCCAGAATAATAATAAAATGTGTGTGTGTATACTGAGATATACATACCGACATATAGAGAGAGACAGAGAAAGACAGAGACAGAGATATTAAAACAAGTGTGCTTAAATGTTCACATTTGAAAAATCTTGGTAAAGGAGATATGGAAAGTCTTTGTAAGTCCGAAATCATCTAAAATTTTAAAATTAAAGAGAAAAACTAATCTGTGCTGATAAAGGTCAGAATTGTGATCGCCTGTGGGGGCCCGAGGAGCCATCTGGTACTGAAAACATTCTGTTTTCTGCTGGGGATGTGACAACACAGGGCCGTGCATTGCCAGGCTCCACTCTCAGAGATTCTGGTGTTTGGTCTGGGGTAGGGCCCAGGCATCGGAGTTTTAAAACCTCCCCAGGCACCAAGGCTGAGAAGCTCTGGTGTGCGAAGCATGATCCAACTTGCTTTTTAACAGTGAGTGATGCAGTAATACATCTCTATCTAGACAATTACTCAGTACATGCACGGGACATTTTAAAATGCCACCCCAGAGACGGAATGACTGAGGCTGGAAGAAGGGGTGTGGATGGCCAGTGTTCCTTGAATTTCTATCACGAGGAGTTCTCACTAATTTCTAAGAATCAGCTTAAAAAATAACCCTTCTCTCCTTGCAGAAGTGACTGGTTCCAAGGCGGGGGCAGGGAAAACACAAGATGATCCTGCAGCCCCTTACAGTGCCAAAAAGTAAGGACATGCTCACAAAACGACAGGGTACGTCTAAGGGACAGGGGACGGAACTGAAGAGTTTCCAGTGGCCAAAGCTGGAGCAACCTGAGTAGCAACAGAAATAAAAGTACTGTATCATAGCACACAGAATAAAATAATTACTCATGAGTCTACATGCATATAAATCAATAACTAACTAACTGATAAATCTAGGAGGAATGAGGAAACTAGAAGAACCCAGAAGAACCCCACACCATTCATTGTTGCAGGCAAGACCCACCGATGGAGTTGAAAATTAGCGGGCGAAAGTTTGAGGAGAGATGGGACATTTGCATGGTGTAAAAGGATCTCTCCCAAGATACCCATTAATTAAAAAGGGAGATATAGTGGCTTTACGGTGGAGGAGTCCAGCAGACACCTCCGTAAGCAGGTGGTTCAGAGAAACACCTCCCGGGATGAGACACAAGGACCTCACAGTATGATGAATTCAGATGGACACGACATCGATTCTGTGACCATCTTCCCCCAAATGCATAACCCGATTCTCAGCAAGAAAAATGTCAGATAAAACCAAATCGAGGGGCATTTGGCAAAACACCTGGCCAGGGGTCTGCAAATATGTGAAGGATGAAAGACAAGGAAAAACTGAAGAACGGTCACAGATCGAAGGAGACTAAGGAGACATGATAACTAAATACATGTGGGATCCTGGAATAGAAAAAGGCCATTAGTGGGAAAGCGGTGGGGCGTGAACAAAGCCTGCAGTTTAATTACAGTAATAATAATAAGCCCTCTGTCCTTGCATCCAGTAGACCCAGGCAAGCCCTCAACCCCTGCCACCTACAGAACTCGTGACTTTGGATGAGTATTTCACTGTCTGAGCACTGGACAATGGGCGTGTCACTAGGTGGACCTAACTCAGCTCTAGGATTGAGTTACTGATAGCGATTGTATGAAGCTCAAGGCGCTCAGTCTGCTGGTACAAGTTTGACCCCCAACACGGAGCGAGAGGAGAGAAGCCAGAGGCACCCTTCCCCGCCCTGCTCACGGCAGATCCGGTGATGATGTGGACGGGGCCTCGAGGGTTGGTATAGGGCATCTCTCGGCTGCCGTTAAACACCTGGAGAAAGAGACAAGGGGGAGGAGCGCGTCGCACCAGGCCACGCCGGAGGGTCTGCCCAGGGTGCCCTGACACCAGCCACATGAGCCCTCGGCCCTCCGTGAGCCTCACCTGGTAGTTGTAAATTGGCCACAGCCGCTCGTATGAGTGTTCATGAGCCCAGAATTGCAGGTCGACCCCTGAGACAGAGCAAGTGGGGGTCAGGCCCCCAAATCCGGGAGAGATGGGGGTGGGACCTGAGGCTGGGGAGCTCCCTGGGTCACTCACCGTATTTGTAGAAAAGATCCTCCAATCCAAATAATTTGCCGAAGAGGCCTTTGCGAACCTGGGCGGGAAGAGCAAGGAGGTGAGGATGACTTGGGCCGACCTCCACCTGGCTCTTGGCACCTCGCCCCGGGGAGCGGGTCCTCACCTTGCTTTCATGCCAGGTACAGTCATCCAGATCAGCGTTGGAACAGTACATGGGCCGGTGACCCATGGTGATGATCCACGGCCGGGCTGCCCGGTTCTTATTGGCTTTCTAGACAGAAGGGCCGGGAGTGAGAGGCAGGGGTGGGGGCAGGGGAGGGGAGGCAGGTCCCAGAGGCGAAAGCTGACCTCTACCCAGGTTACCTGGAGGTCTCTTTCCAGCCAGTGAAACTGTCTCTCTACCATGTGGCGGCCATAATGGAGGTAGAAATAGACCTCAGTGGAGAAGGAGATGATGTGCGCAGGGCCCAGATCCCAGCTGAGGGGTCAAAGGGCAGGGGTCAGAGATAGGGTCTCATCTCCCATCCTTCAGGGGAGGGAGGCCCGACCCCCAGTTCGCCCAGGTCACCTGTACCACAGGCCTTCGCTGTTCCCTGGCATGCTGAAGCGGGCCTTGTAGTTAGAGAAGTTGCTGGATAAAAGGAAGTAAAAGGCTCGGGGGAGGGTCCAGGTGCCCCCGCCCCGCCCCATCCCCCACCGTCAGGCCGCGCGTGGCTCTCAGCCCAGGCCTCCCCCGCCCTCTTCCAGCTGCGGTCCTAGGGACTGAGGGGAGACGCTAGGAGGCCGGGCTGCTATCCCCGCGGTCCGCGCCCGCCCCGAGGCCCCGGCTCACTAGCGCTCCTCGTGGTTCCCAGGGCACGTCATGTACGGCAGGCTGGCGGCCACAGGTTCGATGAGCCGCATGAACTCGTCCCCGACCCGAGCATTGTCCTGATCCATGTTGTAAGCAAAGTCTCCTGCGCGGGGGGCGGGGAGAGCGTGAGGACCAGCCTCAGCTCTGCTTTCGCCGGAGTCCAGAGACCCGGTCGCTCAGGCGTGGGCTGGGCGACCACCGGCGTCCGAGCCGTCCCTCTTCTGGTCCCGACCGCACACCCACCCACCCACGTGGGCGCTGAGGGTGTTTCCTGAACCTCTGGCCCCTGACACCCCCACGGGCCCAGGCTAGTCTCCTGTGCTCCGACCGATCGCGGCGGCCCCCATCTCCGCCGCCACCTTGTCCTCTCCCAGAACGACATGGAGACGGACAGAGGCCGGTACTGGTTTTACACCAGGCACAGATCCAAATGCTTCACATGCTTGATCACGCCAATCTCAAAACACCCTCTGAGGTGGTGTTATTAGTAGCATCCCCATTTCAGGTGGAGAATCTGAGGCCCCGGGAGGGTAAGTGTGGGCCCAAGGTCACAGAGCAGGTTGGTGAGGATCCAGAAGTCAAACCCTGGGAGTCTGATTCCAGAGTCTGGGCTTCGCACCGTATCAGCTCCAATCTTCACACCCATCTGGTTCCCTGTCCCCTCAAATCACAACAGCAATGATAATAACTAACACTTAGGGCGCTTACAACATGCCAGGCAATGTCAACTGATTTAGTCATCAAAACAGCCCTACGAATTCTGGACTGCTCTTGGCTCAAGATAATGATACAGAGGAGAAAACCAATGCATGTAGCTCTAAGGGATTTTTAACCTGGGCAGTAACCAAGCCACCATCCCCCCATAGCCAGTCTCATCCCTCGTCCCTTCAGAACCACACGAGCCCCTGCCCCAGTCCCCTCCACGGTCCTGGCGTCACCTCCCACCCAAGTCCCCACCCCCCGCAACACCCACTCCTCCAGGCGCACCCTTGCCGATGCCTCACCCACATGGAGAACAGCATCGTACATGCCCTGCTGGGTGTCCCTGCGCAGCCGGGGGAGGGCCTTTGGGTTGTCGGCCCCCAGGTCCCCAAACACAGCCAGACGGGGGCTCCAGTGGGGCCCGTTCTTCAGGGCCCTGAAGCGGAACCGCCGGCTCCAGCCCCGAGAGCTGCCACAGCGGTAAACTGAGGGGGCGGGGGAAGGTCACGGTCAGCCGGGGGCCCCAGCTGTCTCTTCCACCCCATTCGTCTTCAGTGGGGGGCGGTTTGAATGGGGGCTCACCCATGCCCCTTCTGTCCACCTCACCCCAGATCCCCAATGCCTTCCATCTTCATTCCAGATAAGCAGATAAGCAAAGATGTTACCAGCCCAGTCTGAGCCACCAGCCCATGGGAGCTTCTAGTCCATATCCCACTTTTCTCCCCATTCCCCCCTCAACACCGGGCCCCTGACCCCTCTCACCATACTGGACCCCCGGCAGCAGCCCCCGCAGCGTGACTCGGTGCATGTAGAGCTTCCGCCGGAGAAGGCCCCCATCCACAAAGGGGCTGACGGTGCCCTGGGCCCGGAGGGGCAGGGGCCCAGTTAGCTGCATCCCGAACTGCACTTCGGAGTGGGTTGGGACCCACGTGGTCCAGGTGACAGTCATGGAGCCTGGCTCACCTGGGCAGGAAGGAGCAGAGCGGGGCTAGGCGGTAAGGCCAGAGCACAGAGGGGTGTGTGGGGACAGCAAGGGCAATGATCAACTGCTCTCAAACACTCAGTAGTTAAGGATCTGGGTTGTAGAGCTTCCCAAGCTTAATCCCAGCCCTGCCATTTCCAAGCTGTGCTCTCCTTGGGCAAGGTACTACCTCTCTGAGCCTCAGTTTCCTTATCTGTAAAATGGAATAATAGTACTTACTCTATGGGATTGCTATGACGTTTAGATGAATAAATATAAGTAAAGCACTTGAAACGGTGCCTAGTACGGTTAGGGTTATATGAGCGAGTGGATATATTATTATTAATATCATTATTTACTATGTGTAGGCCTTGTGCCAAACATTTTACATACGTATCATTTAGGGGTTATAAACTCAGATGTCTAGAGGCCAGCTAGGTAATAAATGGGGACAAAGGCTGCCTGTAAAGAGTAAAGCAGTAGGGTGTTGGGGTGTGTGTGACAAACTGTAGACCCTGACCTGTCTGAGAGGGGCAGCCTTTGCTCAGCTCTGGTGATAGCTGCCATGCAAGAAGCAGGCCCAGCACCACCAAATCTGTCAACTTCTAGAATAAATAAATAAATAGATAGATAAATAGATCAATCAATCAATAAATCTTCCTAGGATGATTTTTACATAGCTAGATATACAAATCCAGACTTTTAAGCGATTGCTCCAAATTCTTAAAATTTAGCAACCGACTCAAGATTTTAAAAATACCGTGAGGTATAGTATAATGTTAAAAGCGTGGGTTCTTCCTCCAGCAACATGAAAATGCATGCACGCAAGGTTACTCATTGTGTGTAATCCCAAAATAACAGAAACAACCGGGATGTCATACGTAGGAGAATGACCGAATAACTCTGTAACGCACGTACAGTGGAGCACTATGCAGCCATCAAAAAGAAAAGAGGACATGCTCTAAGAACTGCTATGGAATGATGCCCAGGACATGCAGTTAAATTAAAAAAGCAAAGTACACAAAAGTATCTAGAGTCAGCTCCTCTTCATGGAAGAGGATGTGAAAAAATATGCAGGGATCTACTCGTTTGTACCAAAGAAATACAGGGAGAATACACCCGGCACTAAAGAGGTGGATTACTCACATGGGGTAAATGCGAAAGAAGGGGTAGAAAAAATGGGAAAACGGAGTAGTAGGAATGAGGAGGGAGGAGGCCTCTCTGAGTCTATCTTTTCTGTAGAATCCTGACTCCTAGAACTACAGTCGTGTTTCATATTTCTTTCATACACCCCAAAATAAACTAACAATAAAAACTACCCAGGATGTGGGAAGAAGCCAGTAGGTGTAGGAAAGAAAAGCAACCGTGGGAAAGAGATCTTGACTGGGCACTGTAAGACGACAGAGAAAAAGGACCGCACGTATGTGCCGTCGCCCGGTAAGTGTTCCCACAGGGATACGGGCAAACAATTCTGAAACCACCTTATGCCTACACTAGCACCGAACAAATAACTAAATATATTGTAGGTAGTGGGAGCTAGATTTCTCAGTGTTGGAGAAAGAAGTTACAACAAAGGAAAGAAGACGGCGAAAATAAACCCTTGATGTTGGACCAAAATCAGAGGTATCAGTACGATCTTATGGTATTTAATAAATATACAGGTCAATATGGAAATACATAATATATACAGATAGATATAGTTGTGTGCATATGGGTATTGACATACATACGTGTATTGGCTAGCTCTGTTTTCAATGACACCTCAGTAGCAATGAGCATGCTTAGTGCTCGGATCTTGGTTTCTAAATACCCATTCTCCAATGAAAGGAACCAGGGCTCCTTGGAGAAGAGGTTTATTCCAACCACAAGGTGAGAAATATACAGAAGGAGCCTGGAATGATTTGTGATGACAGAAAGTAAGGAAGTACTCAAAAAAACGATGGAGGATTTGTTTAAAGAACACAGGTGCCAATCTGAAAGAATTCTAAAAGACCAAATTGGGGACATGTGAGACACAAAATAAATACAGTATTGGATTTTAACCCATGGAATAAAATAAATATCTGTGAGCCAACACAGATATAAATAAATAATTGAATGAATGAATGAATGAATGAATGAATAAATAAATAAAGGGGAGAGGAACAGCCTTTCCTTACAGGAAAATTTCAGTTAGTTGGAGAGAAGAATTAGAAGATTACAAAATCACAATTAGGCAAACACCATGCTAGTAATTGTTGCAAACAGGATCCACCGATGGATACTAAAGTTAGTGGATGAAAGTTTCAGGAGAAACGTGATTTTCGTAGTCTCAAGGACTCTCCCCCAAGATATTTATTAATGACAAAGGAAAAAATAAAAACTACACAGTGGAGAAACCCAGCAGGCACCACTTTAACCAAAGCAACGACGGTTAACATCACCAGTAACTGCAACAAGCCGCGTCAGCATCATTAACTCTGATTCACGCACCAAGAAGGACACAGAATCACATCTATTCTCATCTTGCCAGAAAAATGCATAACTTAGTTCCAATCATGAGAAAATATCAGACAAATCCAAAATGAGGGATAGCCTACAAAATAACTGCTCAGTCCTCAAAAATGTAAAAGATCGTGAAAGGTAAGGAAAGACTGAGAAAATGGCAAATTGGAGATTAAGCAGACACGATGACCAGATACTAAATAACTAAATAACTAAGTGGAAACACTGGTGAAATTCAAACAAGATCTGTAGTTTAGTTACTAATGTTATATCAACATAACAGGGTTTTTTTTATTTTTATATTTTTATTTTATTTTATTATTTTTATTTTATTTTATTTTATTTTATTTTAACATTAGTTAATACAATTATATAATTTTCAGGTGTACATTATAATTTGACATCTATATATTCTATTATACGTTTACCACCCAAAGTCTAGTTTCCTTCAGCTACTTTTTGTTTTTTTTTTTTTAGATTATATATTCGATTACTTTTTCTTTATCTATTGGCTTAGGGTTTTTTTTGAATTTATTAATATATATTTTTATTTTTTAGTTATAGTTAACATACAATATATTAATTTGAGGTGTATGACACAGCGATTAGACATTTATATAACTTATGATGTGATCATCCTGATAAATCTAGGATCCAACTGATAGCATATGCAGTTATTACAAAACTACTGACTATATTCCTCATGCTATACTCTATATAGCCCCATGACTATTTTGTAACTACCAATTTGTACCTCTTAATCCTCTTCCCCAACACTAATCCCCCCATCCCCCTATCTGACAACCATCAGAATGCCCTCTGTAAATACAAGTTTGTTTCTGTTGTTTGTTTATTCTGTTCTGTAGATTCCACATTTGGCAATTAACTTTCTCTGTCTGATTTACTCCATTCAACACAATACCCTCTAGGTCCACCTATGTTGTGGCACACGGTAGGATTTCATTCTTTTTTTATGGCTAATATTCGATTATATATATGTACCACCTCTTCTTTATCCATTCATCTACTGATAGACCCAACATAAGCGGTTTTAAAAATTGTACCGTGGTTAGGTACGATGTTAACGTTAGGAGAGACTAGCTGAGGGGAAAAAGAAGCTCTGTCGTATTTTTTGCACATTTTCTGTTAAATCTAAAATTTGTACAAAATTTATAGTTTTAAAACAAATACTGTGGGCTCTTGAGTTGTCTGGGTTCAAATTCCAGACTGTGACCTCTGGTCAGACTCTTCATCTCTGTGAGCCTCAGTTTACTCTTGAAAATAGGAGTAACAATAGTACCTGTGGCTTAAGGTCCAATAGGAGGTTAATTGAATTATCCATCTGAAGCACTTAGTCAAAAAGTATATCTGCTACTATTATTGTGTAGGCCAGACAAAGGACAGCTGTGACCTCACTGGATTTTCACAGCGGTCGGTGAGATTGTATCATTGTTCCATTTTACAGAGGCCTCCAGGCACAGCGCCTTGTTCAAGGTCACTTGGCCTGCAAATGTCAAAGCCAGCTCATTGATGCTGTTTCAGATTCCACGTTGCAACTAGCTTTTAAAGAACTATCTTCTTTAAAATTGTCAAGGAAAATAAGGAAAAATTGAGGAACTGTCACAGATGAGAGAGACTAAGGACATGGAGGTTAGAGGTGATGTGGGATCCTGGATTAAAAGAAAGACGGTGGGAAAACTGGTGAAATCTCCCCCCAAATCCATAGTTCAGTTAGTAATATGATATCAATGTTAATTTCTTAGTTTGGTCAAGTACCATGGATATATGAGATTAACGTTAGGGGAAGTTGGGTGAAGGGAGCGCAGGAACTCTGTACTATGTCTGCAACTCTTCTGTAAGTCTAAAATTATTTCAAAATATAAAGCTAAAATAATTAGAAAGGGAGGGAGCAAAGGAGAGAAGAAGGAAGGAAGGAAGGAAGGGTGTTGAGTTTGGGTGCAATATCAAAAAAGAATAGCCACAATTTTTGAAACTCCTTTTAAAATCCTCCCTGTTTCAACTACGTGTCTGCGTGAGACCAAATTTTCTTCATATACATCATCCAAAGCAGCATATCATAACAGACAAGCAGAAGGAGAATCCGGCTGTATATAGACATTGAAGAGATTTAAAAAGATGTAACTCAATGGATCTACTTTCTAAAGTGTAGTTATTTTTTCATGAAAAAATGTCATTTACCTTAATACAGACTGGGTTTATTATTTATTTTAAATGACAATAAATATTTCTAAATGCCTCGGTTTGGGTTTCTAATATGGCCAATATTATGGGTATAATTCATTTAAACCAAAGTTCTTTGAGGTTCTCAATAACTTTTAGCTGCAAGAGGTCCCGAAACAAGCACATAGGAGAACCACTGCTCTGCGCCAAGCTCCGTTTTTGCCACTTCACAGGTTATATTTCATTGACTCCTCACTACGAGGTCACAGTACTATTATCTCATTGTCCAGATGGGGAGACTGAGGCCACAGGGGTTAAGTCACTTGCACAAGGTCACAGAGCAAGTAAGCCGGGATTCAAACCCAGAGAGTCTGGGTGTAGAGGGTCCAGAGTCCAAGGTCTCACCACCCAGGTGATCAAGGATCAGGAGGCAGCCTTGTGGGGACACGATGAGCAAGGACAACAGCAGCCCCTTTGGAGAGGGCTGACAATAGGCCGGGCACCAGAATCATTTCCCAGTCAGACGCACCACTAGCTTATAATCCTCATTTAACAGAGGCGGACAACTGAGGCTCAGGAAGAGCAGCCAGCAGCCTAAGGTCCCATAGCAGTCTGTGTGGCATTCCTTGGCCCCCAAGCCACTGGGCCTTGCTGGGAAATAGTCACAGATACTTACTTACCTGGGTAGGACAGGTGGACTTGCTCCGGGGCAGCATTGGGATCCTTTGGGATCCCTTGGACTCGCAGGGAGAAAAACAGGAACAGACAGCAGCAGAAGCAGCAGGACCAGCAGGGACGGAGGGGGAACATGGTGGGGTGG